AAAAATCTATAATAGCCTTTTACAAAACAATAATACAATGCAAGCCTTTGGATGGTGTTCTACTGAATATATTTTACAAAGCATTTGAAAATAAGTTTTAGATTTTTTTGTACTCAATTTTATCTTATTTAGCCAATTAGGTGACTGTTTCTTCATAGTATTCTTCTGTTGCTGAAGACCTCTGTTATTAACAGTTTAAAATATTTTTTTCCAACTTTTATTTTAGATTCCAGGGTACATGTGCAAGTTTGCTACCTAGGTACATTGTGTGATGCTGAGGTTTGAGGTATGAATGATCTTGTCACCCAGGTACTGAGCATAGTACCCAATAGTTTTGCAGCCTTCTTTCCCTCTCTAGTTGTCCTCAGTTTGTATTATTGCCATCTTTATGCCCACGAGTACCCACTGTTCACTTATAAGTGAGAACATGTGGTATTTGGTTTTCTATTCTTACAGTAATTTGCTTAGGGTAATGGTCTCCAGCAGTATCCTTGTTGCTGCAGAGAACATAATTTTTTTAATGGCTGCGTGGTATTCTATGGTGTATATGTACCACATTTTCTTTATCTAGTCCACTGTTGATGGGCATCTAGGTTGATTCCTTGTCTTTGCTATTGTGAAGAATGCTGTGATGAACATGCAGTGCATGTATCTTTTCTGATGGAACAGTTTTTCTTTTGGATATGTACCCAGTAATGGCGTTGCTGGGTCTAGCAGTAGTTGTAAGTTCTTTGAGAAATTTCCGAACTGCTTTCTACAGTGGCCGAACTAATTTACATTCACACCAATAGCCAGTGTTCTCTGTTCTCTTTTCTCTCTCTTTTTTTTTTTTTTTTAAAGAAAGAAAAGAAAAAAGACGGAGAGAGGATGGGAGTTTTGCTCTATTGCCCAAGCTGAAATGCACTGATGTGATCATAGCTCAGTGCAGCCTGAAACTCCTCACCTCAAGCCACCCTTCCACCTCAGGCTACCCCACCAAGTATCTGAGACTACAGGCATGCACCTCTGTGCCTGGCTAATCTAAAATAAAAATTTCATTTTCTTTCTTTTTTTTTTTTGAAAACTGTTTTCTAATGTTACTATCTTGTTTTGTATTTCCACCAGAAACAAGTTTGCTTCAGTTGTGTCACATATTCACCAGCATGTTGTATTATCAGTTGTTTTATTTTAGCAATTTAAAAGGTGTAATGTCTTTATTTGATTTTATTTGGCACTTCCCTAATGAGCTATGATGCTGAGTATCTTTGTGTGTGTGTGTGTGTGTGTGATTGTTTTAATTTAATATAAATTAAATTAAACATTTAATTTCTCAGTTGCACTATCACGTTTCAGAGGCTCAAAGGCCACATGTAATTAGCGGCTATCTTATTGGATGGCACAGATTATCAAACATTTCCTTTGTTGAAGAAACTTCTGCTAGACAATAGGATGCCTTAGCTAAAGTCATGAGTTCTTTCACATCAGAATTCATGGCTAATCTTCAGTAGGAATTGAGCAATTTTATAAGGCTATAACATTTAGTCCGAAAGCCTTCAAAGTCCAATTTTCTCATTCCATTTTACAGTTACAAATTTCTCTAGCTTTGATTTAAAAATTACCTGACCATATTTGCTATCTCCCCAACTAAGCTGGAAGCCTTTTAAGAATGGGGCCACAACCAGTTTGCCAGTGTGTGTCTTGATTGGGGCATTTAGTCCAATTACATTTAGGGTTAATATTGATGTGTGTGATTTTGATACTGCCATTTAAAGCTAGCTGGCTGTTTTGCCCATTAGTTGATGCAGATTCTTCATTATGTTGATGCTCTTTACCTTTTGGTATGTTTTTTGAGTGGCTGGTACTGGTTATTCCTTTCTATGTGTAGAGCCTCTTTCAGGAGCTCTTGTAAGGCAGGCCTGGTGGTGATGAAATCTCTGAGTGCTTGCTTGTTCGCAAAGATTTTATTTTTTCTTCACTTATGAAGTTTAGTTTGGCTGGATATGAAATTCTGGGTTGAAAGTTCTTTTCTTTAAGGATGCTGAATATTGGCCCCCACTCTCTTCTGGCTTGTAGGATTTCTGCTGTGAGTCTGATGGGCCTCCCTTTTTGGGTAACCTGACCTTTCTCTCTGGCTGCCCTTAGCATTTTCTCCTTCATTTCAACCCTGGTGAATCTGAAGATTATGTGCCTTGGGGTTGCTCTTCTTGAGGAATATCTTTGTGGTGTTCTCTGTATTTCCTGAACTTGAATATTGGCCTGCATTGCTAGGTTAGGGAAGTTTTCCTGGATAATATCCTGAAGAATATTTTCCAGCTTGGATTCATTCTCTTTGTCATATTCAGGAACACCTATCACATGTAGATTAGGTCTTTTCACATAGTCCCATATTTCTTGGAGACTTTGTTCATTCCTTTTTAGCCTTTTTTCTCTAATCCTGCCTTCTCATTTTATTTCATTGAGTTGATCTTTGACCTCTGATATCATTTCCTCTGCTTGGTCAATTCGACTGTTAAAACTTGTACATGCTTCGCAAAGTTCTCATGTTGTGTTTTTCAGTTCCATCAATTCATTGATATTCCTCTCTAAGCTGTTTATTCTCATTAGCATTTCATCAGATCTTTTTTCAAAGTTCTTAGTTTCTTTGCATTGGGTTAGAACATGTTCTTTTAGCTCACAGAAGTTTCTTCTTAGCCACCTTCTGAAGCCCGATTCTATCAATTCATCACACTCATTCTCCATCAGGCCTTGTTCCCTTGCTGATGAGGATTCGTGATCCCTTGTAGGAGGAGAAGCATTCTGGTTTCGGGTTTTTTCAGCCTTTTTGTGCTGGTTTCTTCCCATCTTTGTGGATTTATCCACCTGTCGTCTTTGTAGTTGCTGACTTTCAGATTGGGTCCCTGAGTGGATGTCCAGTTTGTTGATAATGAAGTTATTTCTGTTTCTTAGTTTTCCTTCTAATAATCTGGCCCCTCTACTGGAGAATTGCTGAGGTCCACTCCAGGCTTTGCTTGCCGGGATCACCTGCAGCAGCTGCAGAACAGTAAGGGTTACTACCAGTTTCTTCTTCTGCTATCTTTGTCTGAGAAGGATATCTGCCAAATGTCAGTCTGAGCTCTCCTTTGTGAGGTGACTGTTTGGGTATACAGGGGTCAGGAAGCTCCTTAAGGAGACAGTCTGTCCTTTATAGGAGCCCTTGTGCTGAGCTGTGGGCTCCGTTGTTCCTTCAGAGCTGCTATGTGATTTCCTGTGCAGTGACCCACTGCATTGGCTGAAACAGTGGTGCTGAGATTCGTAGAGCTTTCCTGCTTGGGAATCTCCTGGCCTGGCTCACTGTCTCAGTCCCCTTTTTAATCAGCTGAATGGGCACCTCTGCCTTCCCGGAGCTCCATTTGCCAGCTAAAAGGGCACCCAGTCCTGTGTATTTTGCATTGAGAACCACTGCGCCAGGACGCCTGCAAAACAGCCGTGCCAGCCAAAAGAGTCGGGCTGGTTACCCATGGGACTCCTCCGCCTGGGAATCTCCTGGTCTGTGGGCAATAAAAATCCGTCTGGAAATGCAGCATCCACTCACTCTCTGTGCCTTCACTGGGAGCTGCAATCCTGAGCTGCTCTTAGCCATCTTGGATCTCTCTCTCTCTGTTGTTTTTTTTACTTTTTAGTAGCCATTGTGACTGATGTGAGCTGTTATGTCATTGTGTTGTTGAATTGCATTTCTCTGACGATTAGCGATGTGAAGCATTTTTCATCTGTTGGCCACTCCTATGTCTTTAGAGAAGTGTCTGTTCATGTCTTCTGCCCATTTTTTTTTAATGGGTTATTTGTTTTTGTGTTTTGCTTGTTGATTTAAGTTTCTTATAGATTCTGGGTAGTAGACCTTTGTCAGATGCATAGTTTGTGACTGTTTTCTCCCATTCTGTAAGTTGTCTGTTTATTCTGTTGATAGTTTGTTTTGCTATGCAGAAGCTCTTTAATTAGGTCTCACCAATTTTTGTTTTTATTTCAATTGCTTTTGAGGACTTAGTCATAGATTCTTTCTCAAGGCCAATGTCCAGAATAGTGTTTCCTGGGTTTTCTTGTAGGATTTTTATAGTTTGAGGTCTTACATTTAATTCTTTAGTCTGTCTTGAGTCACTTTTTGTATATGGTAAAAGATAGGGGTCCAGTTTCATTCTTTAGCATGTGATTAGCCAGCAATCCCAGCACTATTTATTGAATAGGGAATACTTTCCCCATTGCTTATTTTTGTCAACTCTGACAAAGATCAGATGGCTTTAAGTGTGTGGCTTTATTTCTGGGTTCCCTATTCTGTTCCGTTGGTCTATGAATCTGTTTTCATACCAATATGATGCTATTTTGGTTAATGCAGCCTTATAGTATAGTTGGAAGTTAGGTAATTTGATGCCTCTGGCTTTCTCCTTTTTGCTTAGGATTTCTTTGGTTATATGGGCTCTTTTTTTTGGTTCCATATGAATTTCACAATGGCTTTTTCTAGTTTTGTGGAAAATGACATTGGTAGTTTGATGGGAATAGCATTGAATCTGTAGATTGTTTTGGGCAGTATGGCCATTTTAACGACATTGATTCTTCCAATCCATGAGCATGGAATGCTTTTCCATTAGTGTCATCTATGATTTCTCTCGGCAGTGTTTTGTAGTTCTCCCTGTAGCGATCTTTCACCTCCTTGGTTAGATGCATTCCTAGATATTTTATTTTACCTTTTTGTTACTATTGTAAATAGGATTGTATTCTTGATTTGGCTCTCAGCTTGAACATTACTGGTGTATAGAAATGCTACTTATTTTGTTTTTTGTTTATTTTGCTTTTCGCAATGGAGTTTTGCTCTTATCACTCAGGCTGGAGTGCAGTGGCACATCTCTGCTCACTGCAACCCCTGCATCCCGGATTCAAGTGATTCTCCTGCCTCAGCCTCCCAAGTACCTGGGATTATAGATGTCCGCTAGCTTGCCTGGCTAATTTTTTGTATTTTTAGTAGAGATGGGGTTTCACCATGTTGGACAGGCTGGTCTCGAACTCTTGACCTCATGATCCGCCCACCTCAGCCTCCCAAAGTGCTGGGATTACAAGTGTGAGTCACTGTCCTGGCCCTTACTTTCATATGTTGATTTAGTATCCTGAAACTTTACTAAAGTCATTTATCAGTTCCAGGAACCTTTGTCTTACAGGGCTTTATAAGTATAGAATCATATCATCTGCACAGAAAGATAGTTTTACTACTTCTTTTTCTATTTGGATGCCATTTATTTCTTTCTTTTGCCTGATTGCTCTGGCTAGCATTTCTGGTACTATGTCGAATAGGAGTGGTGAGAGTGGGCATCCTTGTCTTGTTCCAGTTCTCAAGGAGAATACTTCCAATTTTTGCCCATTCAGAATAACGTTGATATTCTTTTTATTAAGCTGAATTACCATGATATGGGTAGATTAAATCAAGGATTTTTTTTAAGTTTTCAAAAAGTCTGTTTAACTTTCAGAACTTATTTATAGCCTTGCGATCTTACGAAACCTTGATATATATTATACAATTCAAAAGAATTCAGGTTTCTTTTTTATAGTATAATCAGTGTAGTTTAAGAAAGTAACTTTTTTTGGCCAGGCATGGTGGCTTACAGCTGTAATCCCAGCACTTTGGGAGGCTGATATGGGCGGATCACGAGGTCAGGAGTTCGAGACCAGCCTGGCCAACATGGTGAAACACCATCTCTACTAAAAATAGAAAAAAAAAAATTAGCCTGGTGTGGTGGCAGGCACCTGTAATCCCAGCTATTCAGGAGGCTGAGGCAGGAGAATCACTTGAAACTGGAAGGCTGAGGTTGCAGTGAGCCGAGATCGCGGCCACTGCACGCCAGCCTGGGCAACGAGAGTGAAACCCCGTCTCAAAAAAAAAAAGAAAGAAAGAAAGAAAAAGAAAGTGACTTTTTAAAAAGTTATTTTGTAAAAACTCTTCCTTGTTTTCTATCCTTAACATTGGATAGATCGTTTTAGGGAGTCAGTGACACATGCATTTGTATCTCTATCTACCACTGACAAATTGTGACTTTGAGACCTCTGTCAGCCTTAGGTTTTTCAAGTGTAAAATAGGGTGATATTATATCTGTAAAATTCAAATGACAAAAGAAAAGTGATATATGTAGCACACTGCTCTTACCTGCTGTATGCTTAACAAGTATTTGTTCTTTGTTTTCTTTCTCATTAGCAATACTTTTTGAAAGGAAAACTTAATTCCACTAAACTCGTATCAGGTGATTATGATCAGTTTGCTCTCCTCATGACCTCAGCAAGATCAGAAAGGAAATCTTAATGGCCACCTGCAGTGAACACCTTTTGAGCTTTATTTTTTGCCTGGGTTCATTGTGTCATAAGATACCTCTTTGTCCTTTAAGTGTTCATCTTCCTTGGCCCCCATGATGTCACTGTCTGTGGGACCTTGTCCAACTCCTTGTACTTCTATCTTAGCCTTCTGGTTAGATTTATCTTTTTCTGTATATTTGTATGCCCATCTTTAGCACTGTTCTTTGTCTGCTTTGCCTGTTACATACTGTCACAGCCACCTAGCACTTATACCCCAGTTACTACCAAAACTGTTCTTCTAGCCTCAAGTTTTCTTCTAAGTAATATATCTAATGTCCACCACTTGGTGGAGAGCTCCTCCTGGTTCACCCTGAATGTCTGGTCTCAAATATTATTTTTCTCTTCCAGATCTACTCCTTCATGCCTAATATCATCAAGATTTTTCACAACTACTGAAATTGTTTACCTTCCAGCCACATTCAATAACCAGATTCTTTAATGCCACCTCCTAAAATTTGCTTGCCACTGATAAGATTTAAATTCCTTTCCAGCTCTATTTCTAGTCATGACCTCTGAAAAGATACTCCTTCTGGGTCTGTGTTTCTCATGTCTAAAAATATTTGTGCTAGATCAAGGGATAGCACAGGAGGGCCCAGGGGCCAAACACAGTCTGCTACCCATTTTTGTAAATAAACTTTTGTTTGTAATTGTTTTTATGCTGCAAATTTGAGTAGTGACAGAGACTTCGTGTCCCACAAGCCTTAAATATTTACCATCTGGCCCTTTCCAGAAAAAGTTTGCTGACCCCTAACCAGAAAATCTCCCATCTAGTTTCCATTTTTTTAAAATATGTTTTTTTGTGACCACTCATGATCAAGTCTAGGGATAATAGGCATTTTAAAATTGCCCCCTAATGTTTCATTTTAATTGATTTATCATTAGAAGTCACCAACAGAAATAATTGCTTTTTTTTAATATTGCAAGAACCTTATCATAAAATATTCTTCAGTGTTTCAAATTTGAAGCTTTTTGAATTTTTAGTATTTTTTTAATATGTTGTGTAAATCCCACTGTTAGCCACCCTAACGAGACCTTGGTCTTAAGGTTTAAAAAACAATAAGAAAAAGAGTAGAAAAATTGATAGTAGTAGAATGTTTAACAAAAGAAATTAAACATGGGACATCCCGTAATGTTAGGATCTCTGTTTCCCCCTCTAATAGCCTTTGTGATTCAAAGTCATGTAGTGGTAAATGGATGAATAGGATTTTCATTGCCATTTTGTGCTGACAGGCTTTTTTTAGTTAATTACTTTTTAAAATAATTTATAGTGAATACATCGACAATTCAATTTATACTTTGATAGTTAAAGCCTCTTAAAAGGCACTGATAACTATATTTTGAAGGTAAAGAATACAGCTAGTTAAAATTCTGACCACTGATTGTAAGTATAATTAAGAAACCTTTTTTTAAGCAGTGGGGAACCTGGGTAAAATAAATGCAAACCAACAGCAAAACTGATGGTAAAAGTATATAAATTTTTATAAAGGAATGAGTTGCAGAAGAAAAAATATACTTTTAAAATGTTACTATTCATCAAAGCAGATTATTTCCCATCATGATAAAATTCTTTCCACTTGCATTTTCTGGCATATATAAAAGGAATATTCAAGGTATGTAAAAAAAAAAATACTTAGATAAAAAGTTGTGAATATCAACACTTACCTCATGTGCTGATGTGTACTGATAACTGCAAGTTATTTTGAAATGTATCAAAAAAATGGTGGATTGATGTATGGTTAGAGGGTTGGATATGTGATGAACCAAATACAGTAAAATGTTAGTTGGAGACTATGGGTAGTGGATACAGGGGATTGGTGTTCACTGTAAAACTTTCACATCTTTTTTGTTTGAAATTTTTCTTAACATATATTAGATAAAATGTTTAGATCTAAGTGGCTGTGAGATAGTGAATTTAGGGAGAAGGATGTAAGAGTGAGAACACATACAGTGTACCTTAAATAAATAATTAAAAGTTTATATGTTGAGCATACCTTGTGTATAAGCACATGCTTCTCAACTGTTTTATTGTGTATTTCACAGATTTGCTTCCATTAGGACTATTCTTAGGTTATAAGTAAAAAAAAACAAGAACTGTAAAACTTTCACTTCAAGGAACATCCTGACTTTCACATTATACACTGTAACTCTATTAGTCCATTTTCATGCTGCTGATAAAGACATACCAGAGACTGGGTAATTTAGTAAGGAAAAAGATTTAATTGACTTACAGTTCCACATTGGCTGGGGAGGCCTCACAGTCATGGTGGAAGGTAAGGAGGAGCAAAATCATGTCTTACATGGATGGCGGCAGTCGAAATATGAGAGATTGTCTTGTGCAGGGTAACTCCTTTATAAAACCGTCAGATCTCATGAGATTTATTCACTGTCATGAAAACAACATGGGGCAAACTGCCCCCATGATTCAGTTATCTCCCATTGGGTCCCTCCCACAACATGAGGGAAATATGGGAGCTACAATTCAAAATGATATTTGGGTGGGGACATGGCCAAACCATATCAGTAACTCTTGAATAATCTCCTATAGCCTCTATAGGAAAGTTAGCTGAATGGTTGAGAAGAGAAGTCCATGTGATTTCTGTTCACACTGGAAATGGATGTGTTTGCTAATGAATGTCACATAATTCTCATTTCTTTTGGTATTCTTGCCAACTCATAGAGAGTTAGTGCTTTCTATGTGTCTTATGTTAGCAAAGTACTAAATACATAGAGAACGGCTATACAACAAATAGTGATTCAAGAGTGGGGATTTCTGAAGTATCATTTTGGTTATTTTGAAATATAATGAAAAAATATAAACAAATATGTTGTTTTAACTACAGTAGTAAAGATTCATGTAACTACAGCTCATATTAAGAATTAGAGCTAGAAGAATTACTTTTGCCCCATCCCAGTCACATCCCCTTTTTCACATCCTCTGTGTTAAAATAGATAATCTGTACTTGATTTTAATGATGAGTATTCTTACATTTTTATTTAGTTTTACAGTTTTACTGTGTAAATTAATTACCTCATAACTATTGTTTAGTGTTGTCTGATACTGAACTTTATATAAGGCAGTCATATTGTGCGCATTCATTGTGGAGTAAAAGCTCACCACCGTGTTTGTGAGATTCATTCCTAAAGGTATGTGTAGCTCTGGTTTAATCCTCTCCATTGCTAGTTAGTATACTATTCTATGACTATGCCACAAATTTATTTGTTAATTCTACTGGTGGATTTTTGCTTTTGTCGACAATATTTTATTATTATGAACAATGTTGCTTTAGAGGTATAATAATTTCTCTGTTAGGGTATATAGCTTGAAATGGAAATCAGTAGGTTGTAGGGTCACTGAAGGTATGTATTTATAAACACTCATTTATGTCATTGCTGCTGTTGTTTGTTTTAAGTACTCAAAAGAATCCAATACAGTTGCATGTTGTGGGGACAATTATTGATAAGCTTATTAGTACTACTCTCTCATTCTTCACTCCTCACCCTCTCACCAGGTACATGTATACACATACACAGACACACGCACATATCCCCAGAACAGTGTTAGGAATGGAAGTTAGAATAAGTGTTATAATTTAGATTATTTTTATAGTCACCTTTTTATTTTCTTTCTAATAACATAAGGAGTTTGCTCAGAAATTACCTTATAAACAGTTAAAGATCAGTTTATTTTTAACTTGATTCCTTTTTGATTTATATCAATGAATCATTCTGTAGCTCAGAATATCCTTCCATCTATCTTACCCAAACTTAATGTATTCTAATAGTTAAAATAATTTCTGAAAGTTTTTATAGCAAGTATAATTGACATACAAGAAACTACATATAGAGACCACATCAAGATAAAAAGCTTCTGCACAGCAAAGAAAACAGTTAATAGACTGAAGAGACAATTCACAAAATGGGACAAAATATTTGCAAATTATCCAACTGACAAGAGGTTAATAACCAGAATATAGAAGGAGCTCCAACAACTTTATAAGAAAAATATCTAGTAATCTGATTTTGAAATGGACAAAAGTTCTGAATAGACACTGCTCAAAAGAATTCAAACAAATGGCAAACAGGTATATGAGAGGTGCTCAGTATCATTGATCATCAGAGAAATGCAAATCAAAACTGCAATGAGATGTCGTCTCACCCCAGATAAATGGCTTTATCCAACTGATGGGCAATATCAAATGCTGGTGAGGATGTGGAGAAAACAGAATCCTTGTATGTTGTTGGTGGTAATGTAAATTAGTACAGCTTCCATGGAGAACAATTCGGAGGCTCCTAAAAAGAATTAAAAATAGAGCTGCCATACCATCTAGCAATCCCACTGCTAGGTGTATATCCAAAAGAAAGAAAATCAGCATATTGAACGGATATCTGCACTCCTATGTTTACTGCAGCATTCTTCACAATAGCCAAGATTTGGAAGCAATTTAAGTGTTCATCAGCATGGACACTTCATGAATGGATAAAGAAAATGTGATACATACACTCATAAAGAATGAGATTCTGTTATTTGCAACAACATAGATGGCATCGGAAATCATCGTGTTAAGCCAAGCACAGCAAGACAAACTTTACAAGTTCTCAGTTATTTGTGAGAGCTAAAAATTAAAATAATTAAACTCATGGAGACGGAGTAGAATGATGGTTAGCAGAGTCTGGGAAGGATAGTTGAGGGGGAAGTAGGAATGGTTAATGGGTACAACACAATAGAAAGAATGAGTAAGATCTGCTATTTAATAGCACAGCAGGGTGACTCTACTCAATAATAATTTAATTAAATGTTGAAGAATACCTTTAAAAGTATAATTGGGTTGTTTATAACACAAACGATAAATGCTTGAGGTGATGGGTACCACATTTACCCTGATGTGGTTATTATACCATTGTATGCCTACATCAGAGTGTCTCATGTATTCCATAGATATATACACCTCTATGTATCCACAGAAATTAAAATTAAAAAATAAAAACTGCATCTATTTAAAGTATTCAACTTGATAAGTTTTGCCATACATATACACCCATGGAACCAAGATAACGAACATTCATAATCCCAGTAGTTTCCTGGTGTCCCTTTGTGATCCTGCTTCTCAAAACTATAGATCTTCTGTCACTATAGATAGAAAATTTGCTAGAATTCCATATGAATGTGATTATACTTTAGGTACTGTTTTTGGTATGGCTTTTCTCACTCAGCATAATTATTTTTAGATTCATCCATGTTCTTTTTAAATTACTGAGTAATATTTTAATGTATGACTGTGCACCATTTATTTGTCTGTTGATGCCATTTTGGTTTGTTTCTGCTGTTTATCAGTTGCAAAAAAATATGCTATGCATATTTGTGTACAAGTCTTTGTATGAACATATGCATTCATTTCTCTTAGGTAAGTACCTAGGAATGAGAATGATAGGTTGTATTATATGTTTATGTTTAACTTTTAAGAAACTTCCAAACAGTTTTCCAAGGTGCTATACCATTTTACATTTCCACCAGCAGTGGTGAGAGCTTCAGTTGCTCTACATCCTTGCCAAAATTTGTTATACATAATCAGTCTTTTTAATTTAGCCTTCTTATTGTGATAATAGTAGTATCTTGTTTTAATTAGCATTTCCCTAATGATTAATGATGCCGAGCATCTTTCCTTGTGCTTATTTGCCATCTCTGTGTAATCCTTGACAAAGTGTCTGTACATATCTTTTGCTGATTTGTATTGGTTTATCTTATTTTTTAATTATAAGAGTTCTTTATATATTCTAAATACAGGTCCTTTGCAGAATATGTTTTGCAAATGTTTTCCCTCAGTTCATGACTAGCCTTTTCATTTTCTTAAGAGTGTCTTTTAAAGAACAAACTTTTTAAAATTTGAATGAAGTTCTGAAAGTTTTAGCAGAGTCTAGAGAATTAGAACCAACAACAAAAACAACAAATTCCCACTTTGCCCTGGATGGTTATGGAATTTTGCCCAATTATTCACTGGTTGCCACCACAAATCTAGTACTTACCATTACATTCCTCTGCTTCTGTGCAATTATTCTTGAACTGTAACTAGTTTAATATTTTGTTTAAACAAATTTGACTTATACAAGGTCCTGTAGTTATAAAGATGAGTAATATATGGTGTTTCTCTTCAAAGTCCTCATTTTTGATATTTAATGTTTCTTCCTGTCATCAATCTTGTACAGCCAGGTTTATATACTTTCCTTTGTTCATTGCCTAGTTTAGCTCTAGAGACAATGAAATACTCAATATATTTTTGTTGTGTACTGTAATTATACTTTTTTGACACACAAATCCATGAGTTTATGGTAGCAGGAAATCTCATGTTCTTTGTATCCCCCAAAGGTCATAACATAGTTCCTTGCACACAAGGGACACTAAATATTCAATGACTGAATGAATTGATGGTTTTAAAATAAGGTTTGCCTGATATATTGATAATACAATTGACTGTCCATATCTGCAGGTTCTGCATCCACAAAATCAACCAACTGCAGATCAAAAATATTCAGAAAAAAAAAACAATTTAAAAATACATTAATAAAGAATAGTATACAACTTAACACAACCCTTTACATAGGATTGATATTAAGTGTTATATAAGTAACCTACAGATGATTTAAAGTGTATGGGAGGATATAAATAGATTATATACAAATAATATGCCATTTTATGCAAGGGATTTGAACATCCATGGATTTTGGTATCCTTTGGTATCCTGGAACAGTCTGGATATCAGGGACAGCTGGATAACCTTTGGCTATACTGAACTAAATGAATAAAAAGTACTCTCAGATGTGATTATTGCAATAGATAGCTTTTCTAGATAAAACAAAGATACCTGATTTTTACTTGAATATTTTTGAGTACGGTAATCCTTTTTTATGACCCAAATTTAACATATTATCATAGAAGTCTGTCTATGGTAATATAGCATGAAATCTGTAGTCAGCTACAGATAAGAGGCTTTCACAAAGTTTGTTTGCCTGTGTCTGTTTTGTGCTGCTATAACAGAATACCAAAGACTGGGTAATATATAAACAATAGAAATTTATTTGGTTCACTCTTCTAGAGACTGGAAAGTCTGATGTCAAAGTGCTGACATCTGGTGATGGCCTTCATGCTGTATCATCTCATGTTGGAAGGCAGAAAGTCAAGAGACAGCAAGAGTGAGGGGGGCCAAACTTAAATTTCTAATCAACCCACTCTTGAAATAACAAGCCTGCCTTCACTATAATGACATGAATCCATTCACAAGGGCAGAACCATTGCCTAATTACCACTTAAACATCCTACCTCTCAGCACTGTTGAATTAGGTATTAAGATTTCAACACATGAGCTTTGGGAAACATGTTCAAATCCTGACACTGCTCTTTTTAATTAGTTACATATTTTATTTAACCTGGGAAGTCCTTTTTTTCTGTGAAACCAATGCCTTAAAAATAGAGACTAAATTTGTAAATGTGTAGGATACGATGACAGTAACTTGCTTTCTTTATCTAGGTCCTGGGAACTCCAACAAGGGAGCAAATCAGAGAAATGAACCCAAACTACACAGAATTTAAATTCCCTCAAATTAAGGCACATCCTTGGACTAAGGTGAGTCAGATTTTTTTTAAAGCATACTAACCAATAGTTACCTAAAACAGGTTTCTTACTGTTCTTAAACTATTTTGAGACCAGATCATTGCATTGAATACAAGCAGTTTTGCATGTAAAGATAGTTGTATATATGTACTTGAGTGTTTCATTGACTTTTTATAGTTTCACTCTCAATGATTTCCTGTAGACAGTTTCCAGCCTGGTTTTTATTTGCAAGGTAAGGACAATATACTTATATCATTAAAGTACAGGATTTGATTTACGAGTAGGATCTAATATAAAATTTTGACAACCTAAAATTCAGAAGTTTATTTACATAGAGGTGTATAGTTTAATATATAGCATATGATACATTTCAAACATTTTCTTTATTCTTTTAAACTATTAAAACATAGACCTTATTATAGATGGCATTGTGTGTTTTTCTTCTCTTGTTTACTTTCCTACTGGCATTTTGGAAACAGGATTAAAAAGCAGGTGTAATCTTGCTGGGAGTGTACATTAAAAACAATTGATATGTTAACTGGATGTCACTAGCCTTTGAAAAAACCTAACCTTAACATTAGATGGAACCAGTTCTAAAGAGCACAATTGCTAATGTACCAGGGAACTTTTTTTTCCTTTGGTAATTAATTGGAATGACTTAAGAGAGAGTTTATTAAAAAGTGTTTTCACCTCAGTTTGATTTGTGAGATTAAGTATGCAGAGAAAAAAATAGAATTTCTCCGTAAGGTTTATAAGTAGAGTGAATCTCTAGCTTCCTCATTTTACAAGTTCAAAAACTCTGACCAAAGATTCAAAGTGACTTACCCAAGATTACATGGATGGCTTGTGACAAAGCCAGGATTAAAATTCTGTGTGCACATGTGTGTGAGTGTGTGTGTCATGGATTACAAATGATCAACTTTTTAATATGTATTTCAAAGAGAGACTTTCTGTATTTTAAAATGTACATATAACAATTCATTTTATACTGTTCATTTAGTTGGTTATAGATATAATTAGAGGTGAAATAATTTAGGGCTATAGGTGAAATAATTTACACTCTGTAGAATCAAAGTTTGTTTTCTTCAAATTCTCATAATCTCACTATGTTCAGAAAACTCTCTTGTTACTAATTATTTATTTCCTATTTAGAATCAAAGACCTCAATAGTATTTTAGTGCCAGAATTATAGGTTGTAGCTTTTACTACAAACTGGCCAACAGATCACAATCTTGCCTTCCCTTTTTTAAACATTTATGGTAAGCACTAAATAGTCTGAGATTCTAAAGTGTTCTTTGATCTTTGTATTCAAGGCTTATTTTAAATCCGAGTCAGAAGATAGTAGACTCTTACCTGGCTCTAAACCCAGAAAATCTCAGGTGGCCTATTTGAATTTAGGGGCTGCATTACAGTTTCAGTCCACTATAGTTATTGCAAGTTAAATTGTTTATAATAAGTGATTTGTAGTATACTATGACTTCAGCCATGTTAAGGGAAAAACAACAAAGAGAATTCTGTTTTTTGAATAAATATAGGGAAATATTCCAAAATGCCAACAGTAGTTTGGGTAAGAAGAAAGTGCACAATTTTATTTTCTTTGTTCTACCTTTTCAAACTTTCATATTTTCTTTAATAATGATGTTATTTTTATGAGGAAAAGGAAAAAATTTTTTTGGTGTAATCTAAGTATTACATATTATCCTCTATATAGAGTTTCTAACAAATATTATGCTGAAATTGAATCATGAGATCCTATTTAACACTCACAATCCTCCTTTATTATTATTATTTTATCAAGACTGCCACTAATCCTCCTTTATCTAAGGTTTCAATTATGCTTTGTCAACCTCTGTCTGAAATAGGTGATATAGTACAATAAGATATTTTGAGAGAGATACTGCATTCACATAATTTTATTATAATTCTCTATTATTATTGTCGTTAACCTCTTACTGTGCCTAATTTATAAAGTAAGCTTTTGTCATTAGTGTGTATGTATAGAGAAAAACAATATATGTAGGGTTTAGTACTACCTGCAGTTTCAGCATCCACATGAGGGTCTTGGGGACATATCCCCTTTAGGTAAAGGGGAAGGGGCACTGTATTTAATGTGTGTCAAATTCTGCATTTTCCCCCTGAATTATATATCTCTAATACAGGTATTAGCTAAAGTAGAATGTGAGCAATGGTTGATTATAATTAAAATGCAGCCAACAGAAGAACTGTAGTAAATTTGTATGCTTTACAACTTCTGTTGCCCTGTTGAATTCTTGATGTTTCCTTATCTTATACTAATTCTTTTCAAACTTG